TTTTTTTTTTTTTTTTTTTTTTGGCATATATCTGTTCAGTTTTCCCAGCACCACTTATTGAGCAGACTGTCTTTAACTCATTGTATGTTCTTGCCTTCTTTTTCAGGCATTTTTGGGTCATATAGGTGTGGGTTTATTTCTGACTCTGTCTGTTCTCTTCCACTTATATGTGGCACTGTTTTTATGCCAGTACCATACTCTTTTGATTATAATAGCCTTGTACTATAGTTGTATATCAGGTGGCACATAAATTTTAGGATTATTTGTTCTAGATCTGTGAAAAACACCATTGGTATTTTGATGGAGATTGCATTGAATCTGTAGATTGCTTTGGTAGTATGGACATTTTAGCAATATTTATTCTTCCCATCCATGAGCACAGTATACGTATGCTTACATTTATTTGTATCTTTTTCAGTTTCTTTCTTCAGTGTCTTATAATTTTTTGAGTACAGCTCTTTGGCCTCCTTTGTTAGATTTATTCCTAGGGTTTTTTTTGTTTTTTGTTTTTGCAATTGTAAATGGGATTGTTTTCAGTTTCCCTTTCTGATAGTTCATTATTTGTGTATAAAATTTCAACCAATTTTTGAATATTTATTTAGCATGTTGCTACTTTACTGAACTTATTTATTAGTTCTAGTAGTTTTTTGATGGAATCTTTAGGGTTCTCTATATACAGTATCATATTATCTTCAAATAATGTCAGTTTTACTTTCTTTCCAATTTGGATGCCTTTTATTTCTTTTTCTTATCTAATTGCTATGGCTAAGATTTTCAATACTATGTTGAATAACAGTGGGGAAAGTGATCTTAAAGGGAAACATTTTTAGTTTTTTCTTGTTTACTATGATGTTAGCTGTGGGTTTCTCATAATGGTCTTTATTATGTGGAGGTATTTTTTCTATATTTCCACTTTGCTGAGAGTTATTTTCCTAAATAAGTGCTGGAGTTTATCAAATGCTCTTTCTGGATCTACTCATAATCATGTGATTTTTAAACTTCGTTTTGTTTATGTGATGTGTCACCTTATGGATTTGTGGATATTGAACCAACCTTGAGTCCCTGGAATAAGTCCCATTTGATCATGGTGGGATCATCTCTATTATTGGATCCAGTGTGCTAGTATTTTGTTGAGGATTTTTGTATCTATATTCATGAGAAATATTGGCTTATAATTCTCTTTCTTTCTAGTGTTGTTATTTGGTTTTGGAATTAGGATAATGCTGGCCTCGTAAAATGAGCTTGATATTCTTCCCTCCCTCAAACTACTTTTTGGAATAGTTTGAGAAAGATGTTAGTTTTTCTCTGTATGTATGGTAAAATACACCTGTGAAGCCATCCATTCCAGACTTTTGTTTGTTGAGAGTGTTTTGTTTTTATCACAGCTTCTGTTTTGCTCATCTGTTCAGATTCTCTGATTCTTCCTGATTCAGATTTGGAAGATTGTATATTTCTAGAAATTTATCCATTTTTCCAGATTGCCCAGTTTTTTACATATAATTGTTCACATTACGTTTTTTATAATCCTTTGTATTTCTGTGGTATCGGTTGTCATCTGTATTATTTTATTTCTGATTTTATTTACATGGCTTCTCCCTTTTTTTATTTTTATTTCTTGACAAGTCTGGTTAAAGGTTTATTAATCTTTTTTATCTTTTCAAAGAACCAACCAGCCTTTGGTTTAATTGAAATTTCTTTGTATTATTTTTGGACTCAATTTTGTTTATTTTTACTCTGAACTTTATTATTTCCTTTCTACTCACTTAGGGCTTTGTTTGTTCTTTTTATAGTTTCTTTAGGTGTAACTTTAGATTATTTATTGGAGATTTTTCTTGTTTTTTGAGGTAGGCCTGTATAGCTATGAATTTCCCTTTTAGGACTGCTTTTTCTGTGTCCCATAGATTTTGAGTTTTAGAGTTTTTATTTTCATTTGTCTTAAGGCATTTTTTGATTTCTTTTTTTTCTAATTGTTAACACATTCCTTGTTAATAACATGTTATTTACCCTCCATGTGTTTGTGTGGTTTTTCTTTCAGATTATCTCTTGTTTTTTCAGATTATTTCTATTTTCAAACCACTGTGTTAGAGAAGATACTGCACATGATTTCAATCTTTTAAAATTTATTGAAACTTCTTTTGTAGCTTAATGTGTGGTCTGTGCTGGAAAATGTTCCATGTGCACTTGAAAAGAATGTATATTCTACTGTTTTCATGTAAAATGCTCTGAGAATATCAATTAAATTAATATGGCCTAATGTGATATATATATTTATAAATTTATCTTTATTGTTGAAAGTATTACTGATGTCGCCTTTCCTGCTACCATTGATCCCCTCCACCCCCCATCTACCCATTCCTCAGGCCTTCTCCACACTATTTGTCTGTGTCCATGGGTTATGCATGTATGCGTATAAGTTCTTTGATTAATCTCTCCCTACCCACTGCCCCAGCCCTTTCCCTCAGAGATTTGTCAGTCTGTTCCACACTTCTGTGTCTCTGGATTTGTTTTAATCATGTTTGTTTTGTTCATTATATTCCCCATGAGTGAGATCATATGATACTTGTCTTTCTCTGACTGGCTTATTTCGCTTAGCACAATAATCTCCAGGTCCATCCACGTTGTCCCAAGTGATAAGAGACCCTTCTTTTTTACAGCTGCATAGTATTTCATGGTGTAAATGTGCCACAGCTTCTTTATCCACACATCTACTGATGGGCACTTGGGCTGTTTCCAGATTTTAGCTATTGTAAATTGCACTGCTATGAAAATAGGGGTGCATGAGTTCTTTCTGATTGGTGTTTTGGGTTTCTTAGGATATATTCCTAGAAGTGAGATCACTGGGTCAAAAGGCAGTTCCGTATTTAATTTTTTGAGGAAACTCCATACTGTTTTCGATAGTGGCTGCACCAGTCTGTATTCCCACCAGCAATGTACCAGGGGTCCATTTTCGCCACAACCTTGCCAGCACTTGTCATTTGTTGATATGTAAATGGTAGCCATTCTGACAGGTGTGAGGTGATATCTCATTGTCATTTTTAATTTGCATCTCTCTGATGATTAGTGACTTTGAGCATTTTTTCACATATCCCTTGGCCATCTGTATATTCACTTTGGAGAAGTGTTTATTTAGATCCTTTGCCCATTTTTCAATTGGGTTTTCTTCCTTTTGTTAAGTTGTATGAGTTTCTTGTATATTTTGGATATTAACCCTTTGTCAGATGTGTCATTGGCAAATATGTTCTCCCATACAGTGGGATCTCTTTTCATTTTGGTGATGGTTTCTTTTACTGTGCAGAATCTTTTTATTTTGATGTAGTCCCACTTGTTTATTTTCTTCATTGTTTCCCTTGCCTTAGGAGATGCATCAGCAAACATACTGCTACGAGAGATGTCTGAGATTTTGCTGCCTACATTTTCTTCTAGGATTTTTATGTTTCACGACTTTCATGCCATTGTGATCTGAGAAGATGCTTGATATGATTTCAGTTTTCTTGAACTTGTAGAGACTTGTTTTGTGTCCTAACATGTGGTCAGTCTTTGAGAATGTCCCGTGTGCAGCATTGGGGTGCAGTGTTCTGTAAATGTCAATTAATTCCATCTGATCTAGTGTGTTGTTTAGGATCACTG